TTCAGAATACGGTGGCTTTGCAGGGGCTATAGGCACATTCAGCCTCAGCGAATTCACAAATGCTGCCATGCATGCATACGAAACGTCACCGTCGACTACCACGGACTCGGGTGGCAATTCCAGCAGAAGAGTGAACGTCAGTACGAGCAACCCGCGCATAACCAGCGCAATCGCGAGGGAGCGACATAATGATTTGAAAGACTTGCCCCCAGAGCTAGCTGCTATGGTGCAACAAGCCCTCCATGAGTTGGATATGCGTGATTTTGACGAAGTTGTAAACGCGAGCGAAGGATGTGACGATAGAGGCTTAGGCGGGCATTAGAAAACGTTGATGGGCACTCTCGCAACGTACGAAGAAAATGAAGAAACAGAAAAAAATCCATGCCAAGTTTAAACCAAGGGTTCCAGCTTTTTGTTATTTCAAATTTTTTTATGCAGTTATACTAAATAGCATAGCTTTGTTGAGTATAAGTAAACGTTGTTGTTATGGTTCCGATAAAGAAAATACGGCTATAGACACCCACGAGTACAAATTCAAATACGTACATATGTACACTCATTAGCACTACATATGACCAAACAAGCACTGTTTTAATGTTTTGTTACTTCGTTCTTTCAGTTTAAAACGAATAAAATCCATTCATTTGCGCAATAAACAATGAAACATAGACTTTGCTTATATTGCATTTATTTAAGATTAATATTTTAACTATTTTCTATCTATGCATTAGCATTACAATCACAGTATATCGATTAAAGAAATTATAATTTCCAGAAAACAAAATAACGCGACATCCAAACGAAGAAACTTCTATGCATACAGGAACATCGAAGTCAGCCTGTAAATAAAATTAAATTGCAAGTTCTTTATTTAGGTCACTAAAGTTTAATTGAAATTTGGAACGATAAGCTTTTGATATTTGAATTATAGGATTAACTATGCGTGGACGATCAGTTGTCAAGTGCGAATGGATGAATATAAGTGCTTTTAAAGTTGGTGAAAAATTAATACACTTTAGTTTGATTACTTTTCAACATGCAGTTTTTATTTAACACATTACAATAGTGTATTTTCATATCACATAAAATTACATGAGCAAATCATTTATATCAGAATAACGCTGAATGATCTTAATATACAAATGTACATATATAATAAAATCGTGTTGGCCATTTTTAATATGTGTGTTCGTTGAAATTCACTAATTTGGAATCAATTTTTAATGGCACTAGGCCCCAACTAGAAATACCATAGACCGTAAATAACGATTATTTCTCAAATTTCTATTATAAAATCGTACTGAAATAGCTACATATCTTTGACTCGGGAAAATATTAACTTCAAAAGTTACTTTCTGAGTTTAAATTTTGTTTAAAAAAACACACACAACAGGTTTACATATATAATCGTTACGGTCCCTGAGATATACAAAATATGTACGTACATATATGCGTGCGTATGTTATAAAATTGGTACCTAATAATAGTAGCCGATACTATAAATATAAATTAACCTTATTCTAGCGTTCATTGGATGATTAATGGCAACGCATGTAGATACATATTTCGATACAAAGACCGAGCATGCAGTTGTTACTTGTTAGTAAATGAAAGTTTTAAAATGTTTAAAGGAAGTGCTCTGACTAGCTCGTTTCGCCTTTACGAATAATTAGACTGGCAATTTTTTGCTTTTGTTAAATGAGTTTCAAGTTTCGAATTAAAATAAAACAACGGTTTTACAAGTTTAATTTCTATAAATGGAATAAACTGCCAAACCATGAAAGGATTTCGAATTACCGAAAAGTTTTTTCTAAATACGTATTATTGGAAAGCTCAGCCATATGTATGTAGGTACAGATGCGTGCAACTAATTAGCAACGAAATTCAAAACGATATTGCTTGCAAATTATGTTTATTTATTTATTTTTAAAAATTTTCATTTAAAATAACATCAATCTATAACAGAAACCACAATAACAAAAGTTGCAAAGCTTGCACAAATTGCAAAAAAATTAAACAAACTTAAAAAAATCGTCATCAAAATTTCAAAATATTTAATTAGAATATATAGAAAATGTTGGGGTATGCAGTTTTGTAGCCCATTCAATTTTAGTATAATAAAGTGGAAGTTTCAAGTCGCTAAAAATTACCGTTGATTTTTTAGAATTTTTTTTTGTCGAGGGTGTTGCGGATTTTTTTCCATGTAAAAAAAATTTTGATCATGTGTTATATGGAAGAAAATGCGCAACACCCTCCAAAAAAAATTCTAAAAAATCAACGGTAATGTTTAGAAACTTGCACTTTATTATATTAAAATTGAATGGGCTACAAAACTGCATACCCGAAAATTTTCTAAATAGTCTAATTAAAAATTTTGAAATTTTGATGACAATTTTTTGAAGTTTGATTAATTTTTTTGCAATTTGTGCAAGCTTTGCAACTTTTGTTATTGTGATTTCTGATATAGATTGAATTATATTTTAAATGAAAATTATTAAAAATAAATAAATAAACATAATTTGCAAGCAATATCGTTTTGAATTTCGTTGCTAATTAGTTGCACGCATCTGTATGTATTTACTAAGTGTACCTACTTATTTATTTAAAGACTTGTTTACATTACAGACATACAAAAAAGTTTTAAAAAATTTGAATTAACTAATTCCAAAGAAATTAAAACTAACGAAATTCGAAATACAATAAGTTAAATTTTTGATAAAACGTTTTTTTTTTTGACTAAACATAAAATCGTTTAAGAGAATTTGGGAGAATCCTTCTGATAAATAAATACTTAGTACCGAAAAGATTAACCAGTGTAACGGGTTTATATGGCAAATTTCATTTAAAAATTTATACACCTGTGTAAAGTATACGTAATTATAGTGAAATGCGCCGAAATTTAATGTCGCAATGGCATTCGTGGATTGGTAATTTTTATATTTCCTCTTCTTTACGATCGAATAGGAAAATGTATCGCCGACTATTGTGAGGGTCGCAGCCAAGCTTTGCTCTAACACACTTCAACTCTCTACATCACCGTTAGTATTTGCTTCAACTGCATTGCTATCATAATAGTAACCTACCAGCTTAATTATTTGCGACGCAACAAAACCACTGCCCAAACCCGTAATAATGCCATGCAAAAGTAAGCGTTGCTTACTCATCGACATTTGGATGGTACGGTCACTAGAAAAGGTTTGATTGCGCCGATGACATAAATATCAATTAATGAATGACATGTAATTGGTGAAGAGCACGTAGTTCTCTACTAACCGCGCACACAACTCTTGACGCACAGCTGCTGTAAATTTATTAACCAAACAAAGCGCCGTCGTGGTGCCAAAGATCAAATTGTAAAGTAAAACAATCTGAAAGTTGCCGAGCCATTCTATGGCACCAAAGTCACCCAACAGATCAAAGTTCGTAATACCTGCAACGAAAATGTTCAATAATTGAGTTACACAAAAAAAAAAATGAAAGGCAATAATAAAGGCTTTTAAAAGTTAATTCAGACAACAACCATACTCCGGATTAAAGGTGCAATTACAGATTTAGGATTAGACTTGATATACACCAATGTCGCTTAACAGTACGGCGTCGCAGCAATTGCGTTCTAAAATGCAAGAGAACAATTTGCGGCAAGTGTGCATAGCACCTTTAATCTGAGTCAATGCCGCCTCGTGTCTAGATCATAACTCACCAATAATTCTGCTGAGCAGCGGCAGAGCTGAACTCAAAATTAAAACCAACGCACAGTTGAGTATCAATTGGGCGAGTGAAGTTTTTCGTTTTTGTGGGCGCACATGACGCATAAAAGGCATCGTGTAGAACCCAACGACCGAAGTGGCTCCCAAATAAAATATTAGACACACTTCTAAGCCGGCGCCAAACGGACCGAGCTTGGACAGCGACGTGATGCCAAGTGTGAATTGCTGCAACTAAACAAAAAAAAACAATTATATTTGAACTGATGACGAGCTAAGCAAAACAAAAACAACTTACTCTTTTGCTAAGAGGTAATGCTTTGATTCCAATTAACAACTCCAGTGTATTTTGCACCACCAACAGCACTGTTATTCCCGTAAAGAACAATAACGATAGCATTGCCAGTGGATAGACGAAGTTGCGTTGAAACGCTGACGACTTGCGTAGCTTTTCCAGCTCTCGACTTTCAGACTCCAATTCTCTCAGTCTTTGATTGAGCTTTTCATGCTCGTTTTGGTGGCTATCTAGCGGTTTTCGTTGATACAGGTGCTCCAACGATGTATGTTTGTAATAGCCGCCGGCACCACCATTTGTGTAGCTGCGCGTCAAACTGGAACGCAAGCTGCTGCTACCGTTGCCACTGATGCTGACATTCAGCAGTTCAATGTTCGCTAATTTTCGTTTCACACTGGCGATTTCCATGTAGTATACTTGGTATTCCTCATTGACGTCGCGAAGCAGATGCGGCTTCACCAGCACTTGTCCCATCACGCCAAAGAGACGAACGAAACCAAGAGGTGTACAAACTACGGAATTATATGAAATAGATTCAATTAACAAAACAATTCAGTAAAAAACCAAGTATCTTAGAACCCAAAACAAAGACTGATTCTCTAAATAGTTTATACAAATTAGTTCGTAAGTATAAAATAATGTTCAAATGTAATTTTGCTAGTATTGAGTATTTAGCATATCTAAATTGGGTATTTAGTTTCTTGAAACAAAAGTATTTAAGTATGTATGTATGTATGCATCACTGAACATTTCTATTTTTCACTGAGAAGTGATTCAGTCTGCTTGCTCACTGTAAATCTATAAATAAAAAACTTTCTTGATTTACTATCGAAACCTTTGCCTTGGAAACGGGGGTACACAAAAACATACTTTGTCAAAGTGAACAAAACAATAAAGAAAGAGAACATAAAGGACAATATATTTCTATACCTCACAACGCAAACTATACCAGCAAAACCGAAACGTATATTACTTTTATTAAAAAACGATTATAAAGTGCTATGTCTCAAGGAGATATGGACGAAGACTTCCTGGACTTTGAGTCAAAAGTCAATCAGGTAATGAAACTACTTGAGGATATGGCCAGCGCTAATAAATCGGAGTCAGAAAGTACAAAAAAGCCAGATACGTAAGTCAATTACAGCAAGTAACGACAAAAGATAATGCTCATAGTCATAGTGAACTACCGCTACAACAACAATAAGAAAAAAAATAAAGCGCCAACACGCATTTTCACTTTTTTCCGTTAGTAAGTCTGACATCAATGAGGATAAATTTATTGTCAGCGTGCGTCAGGATCGCACGGTACTCAATCGGAAGGCGGCCCATGAGAAAGACCCTAACGATCAGGGCGGTCCCCAGCAAATGGACAAATATACCTTCATGCAGCAGATGGAGCAAGACGCCGCCGAACGCGCTAAGGTGCGGCAGGAGCGCGAGCGTATAGCTCAAAACTTTCGCAGGTTAGTCAAAGCATAATACGAGAAGATGAATGTATTCAAAGACTTTACCCTTCACAGTCTAGGCAACGAAGCTTTCCGCAAGCAGAACTACGAAAAGGCCATACAAATGTACACAAAAGCCATAGAACACGTAAAGGATAGCCCGATACTTTACAATAACCGAGCGCTCTCTTATCTCAAGTAAGTATATACATAGATAAAAAGGCGAACAATAATTTATTATAAACGCGTTTACATATGTACATCGTCAAAGGCTTCGCAATGCTAAACGCGCAATAATCGATGCTGACTATGTGATTAACAAATTAGACGAAAAGAATTTACGATCCTGGTTATATCGTGCAGCGGCCTATCTGCGATTGGGCGATGAAAAAAATTATGAGACGAGCATTAAATTCGCAAAGAAGAATAATTCTAAAGAAATTGACTACATAGCTGCATTTCAAGAGAAACTCAGAACAGAATTCTAAATATGGACACAAAAATAACCCAAGCACTTTAAATTGATTCCCATATTGTGTAATGTTTAATCATTAGAACTCGAAATTTTGTATTTACATATGTATACCGACATGCAAATGTATGTAAATCAATGCACTATTTTTTTACTCACCGAGAAGTAGAAGCACACCCAGAAATGAAACGCAGGAGTATAGAAATGGTAGATGTACACTGCCCAAATCTGGAAATAAAAATGCAACAAGCAGCAGTGAATATTATTGAAACTGAACTGAAACAATTGATTAACAGAACACAAATAATACAAATGCAATTCACTACGGAAATGGATTTCCGGTGTATTTTCCGCTACACTGGATATCCATGTTTTTGCAACTGCTGTTGGGCAATAAAAGTAAATAAGTGAAGTACATCACTACAGTACGTACTTAGCAGTGACAAAAATCCAATTCTTTCCGGATCCATGACGGCGGACAGCACATAGGTTATGCCCAAGACAACCGTTGCTAAAAGACTGAATACTGTAAATGTTTCATAGACGCGTGCAATTATGCCCTTCTTATGTCCCACAAACCCTGTGGACTCGGTGAATAAGTACGCGAAAGGCAGAAATACAAACAGCGAGAGATTGGAGAATAGAAACACGTGATTCCAAAGACCTTTGAAAAAAACAAAAAACATATTGCATATAGCGATTATGTCTCCGCTTACGAATCAGTTAAGAATTTACCTTGTATAAGAGAGCTATTCA